GTGACAAGCCAGTTTTGTTTGCTTTAATAGGCGCTTTAAAAATGTGTATTATTATTATTATTATTATTTAACAAGCTCGCGGTCAAAAGAAATCAGATGTAACAGACATTGCGAGTACCCAAAATTAATAAAATAGTAACTAACACAATAAAACGTATGGCACGCATAGACTAATAATTGACGGCTGTACTCGCAACTAGTATCGGATTGTCGATGCCACAGTAAAGATGCACGCGCTATGTTTGAGAGCGGAGATGTACGTCCTTCTGTTGAATTACCTTGAACACAAACTAATTTTCGATATCGTAAATAACTGTGGACAAGTATTATATTTCCCTGGATTTGTTTGTTTTAGTATGTTTCTGTTACACAACTGAAAATAATGGAAATAAAGTAGTGGATCTATTCTGTTAACAGTTAAACATTCGAATTAATTAACCAACCTAATTGAAATCCAAACAGCCTGATTTCTGACTAAACACACGATATATTCAGACTTTACGTTGTCGAAGGTCAACTCGAAGATGGTAGATGCAGCCTGCAAGGGATTTAACATAGGTTCCTAAAACAAACAACAATAATAATGATAATAACATCCTATGATGTTGATGATGACAATAATGATGATGATTATAATGATGATAATGACTATGATGATGATAATGTTATTGATGATAATGATAATAGTAATAATATAATATTTTTTACACTGATTTTAGATCTTATTTCTGTAGTAGGTGATTTAAATCTTCCTGGTAGTATGATACTTAGGAGTTTGTCGGCGATGATATACTGTGTTGCACTCTGCCAGAGTGACTCTAACGGTTAGTTCTTAATTTTGTTTATGATATTATCGAATAGAAAGTGCATTTTCACGATCTGACGTCATAGAGGGCCGCATTATCATGCTATTCGAAGACGAATAAAGATTGTATTGTTGCAATTTTGTATAGACGAATGTGGATTGATATCTGAAAGTGATGTATCATCGGCTTCAGAGTCATTTGTGTTCTCATCATCATTTACTCTTACTGAGGGGTGCACGAGAGACGAGATTTGTAACAAGGAAACCAAGCCACATACATGTGTCTGTAAAGAAGGGTTTACAAGAGATGGAGAGAACTGCAACCGTGAGTATATGGTATATTGCAACGTTCCATTGTGATAGTGTACGCGCATGGCAGATTCGTAATACAATAGCGCCTAAGTAAAACTAGGCCTGAAGTAACTTACAAGTTATAATCTACTTGAGTGACTAGAAAAAAAAATCGGGATGGACACTTAGACAGCCGGCGAAGATGACAGCGAACACAATGCAACGCCACAACTAGTACTGAGTTTAGTTTAAGGCGTTTTTAAACAGGCTGCTGCACGCAGACCAACGAGTGGCTTAAAAAAAATCAATGCGATATAACTTGTATTTGTTACCCTTCATGTGGGGCGTAACTCCGGCCCAAAAAATACATATTAGCCGAAAAAGGCGTTGTATTCACCTCCACTTTATAACGGACACGATGCATGCCTGTCTTCTTTGCTATGATGCGAATGCCTAAATGACCCTCTAAGTTCCTCTACTATGTGGCCAAACTTATCAAGAAATTGAAATATATTTTATATCACGTCAGCAACGACAACTTGCAAACGGCCAGCACCGCCTAGGAGGTTCGGAAGTTGGTCCACTGTAGATGCCAGAGAGAATGAACTATTTTATCCTGGAGACCGCATCCTTTACAAGTGTGATAGTGGCTATGCTCTCAAAAGTAGTAACGGCAAGAAATTCAGAAAATGTGGTGCTGACGGACTATGGTATCCTAAAAGAGTTCCAGTGTGCGTCGGTAAGATTCTCGCTCATCATAATATTATATATATCCTA